AGGACGACACGGGGTCCGAACTTGACGAACCATGGCGGGGCACTGGTTGGGCGCACGTCATGAGCGGCAGGCGGGATGAGCTGGAAGCATCGAACGAGAGCGGTCGCGAGCAGCCGGAGCCAACGGCGGGTTGGCTGCAACGCTGGAAAAAGTCTTGGTAGATGTTCTTCGAGTTCAGCGACCGTGAGTCCAAGGGCTTGGAAGCTGTCTACGTGCGTGTAACCTTGAGCGACGAGCGTCTCGATGTGCGAGTCGTGATCTTTCGCGAGCCACTTGAGCTTGCTTGACGCGGAAAGATGCGCGTTGTGCCAAAGCGGAAGACGGTGAAGCACGAGCGGAGCCTGTTGGGTGGTGTTGTCCTGCGGGAAGGTGATTGCGTCTAGGGCGCTCTTCGGGCCAATTATATCTACATTTGTCTGCACCTACCAATGGGTGCTTTTGGTGTCTGGCGAAAGGCAGTCGCAGCTTCATATGCATGGTCTGTCCGGGTGTTCCTTGATATCTTTGGTATCTTGGCTGGTTGAAGTAACGCGGGATGTCATGGATCGTAAAGCAGGGTGGAGAGGTTTTGTCGCATCAACAGCAGTCGAACGAGGCTGCACCGCCCAGAGCACCACCGTATCACATTGCTTTCTCGATTGGCAATGTTGCAAGGCGGACAGAAGAGTGGCATTTTGAACCGGAGGGTTTGCGAAACGTTGCGTCCAACCTGTGCTGCAACTTCAATGTAGCGACCTACTACGACATCTGATCCAAAAGAATCGATCGATCTTTCGACAGCATGCTTCGCATCCTCGCTTTGCGAAATGTAGTCTTTTACGTCGGTAGACAGCGTCGATCGTCTTGAGCTAGGAAAGAGCACATATATGTGCGATATGCGTCTCCAAGGCGATGCTACTGCACGTTGTTGTTGTGCATTTTCAGAAAATCGGCTCCGTATCGTAAAAGATCACGCAGAATTTCATTTCTTAGTCGTTAGGGTCACGTTGTTTACAATACCATAACTCACCAATTCTCAGACAGAACAGGTGGCCCACAGCACCTCAGCGCATCCCGTGGATCATCGCTCCGCACGCCATGCTGAAGGCCATACCATGCACCGGTACTGCGGTCGCTTGCTGGGATGTTGTTACCATGTTTTTGTGCATCAAAACTCGTTAAGCTACTGCGCCATCGCAATCGACGTACGCCAGAAAGTGATGTTGCGCGTCCATTTTGGGTGCCAATGAATTCTGCCTCACCGATCAATCCTTCAAACCGATCTTGTGAGGACGGCGCGTCGATTCACCAACTTGGTGGACGCCAGACAGGCGTACGGTGCTAATCCCACGGCATTATCTTGTCGACACTGACGTGAGATGGTCGTGATTGCGGTATGTGTGTCAATTGATGTAGAGAAAATGGTCGCGGGTACTCGAGGGCATGTGCGCGGCGCCCGATCAACCTGGAATGGATGAGTAGAAGCCCCTGTGCAGACGATGCTTCGGGTCGTTGATAGGCTCGACGTGTACAATCGATGCAAGACTACCTCTCTGAGTTGAGAGCACCAAACGAAACGTCCAGTCCTCACGCTCACTAGACACAACGCAGCGTTAATATCGCACCTGCTTTTCTACAGGATATGGCAAAGCACCGTGTCCGCGCTATGTTACCCACCCAGTCCATTCGGAGCCATGATCACGCCATGTAGCGCTGGATAGTATCGGAAGCCGCCCATGCCGCAAAAAAGCTCGCAAAACGCCATCCCACGAGTATCCACCAGAGGTGCACCAGGCGTCCACGGTCACAGTAGTAACGTGCAGCTGCACTGTGTACAGAACGGATCAGGTCCGCGGCAGTATCTTTTTCCCATCTTTGGACCAAGGAACGCGCTGGTACAAGGCGCAGTCGCTGCTGAAGGCTGGAACTCGCACGCCCGATCGATTGCTGTGTCCTAGCTTGCAAGAACGAAAACAAGGAGCGCTATGACCTATCCGGGTACCGTTGCACTGTCCGTCGACTCATCGGAGATATAGTAGTACGCTCGGACTCTGGTTCCTTCAACGCGTGCAAATTGGTCATCGACGTGGCGTGGTCACGGCGGGGGCAGAATGCGATGTGCAACTCGTGCGGTAGTAATGGCGTCCGGTGGCATCCCTCGAACGCGACCTCGTTTTCTTCATTCTTCATCTTGCCACACACTCGATATGACCATGACCACGTGCTATTTCAATGACTGCAACAATGCGGCGCTCAGCGACAGCTCCAAGTGCGAGTTCCACAAGCACCGCCTCAAGTGCCTTATCGATGGCTGCCACAACCAAGTGTACGCGCGCCGTCTCTGTGTCCGCCACGGCGGCAAGAAGCTCTGCGCCTTCCCCGACTGCAACCGCAACGCGCGCCTCGGCAAATTCTGTTCGCTTCACGGCGTCGTCACGCACAAGCGTCACTGCAATGAAGACGGTTGCCTCAAGATGGCCCACGCCCGGGGAAAGTGTGTTCGCCATGGCGGCGGCCGTCGCTGCGCGCACCCCGAGTGTCCATCGCACGCGCGCCACAAGGGCTACTGCAGCCGCCACGCGATCCTTATGATGCCCCTGACGCCGCCGCACCAGCTCGAGGCCAAGATGGACATGACCATCTCGCCGGCCGCGCGCTGGCCAGGCGGGAATGGCTTCGTCGCGTTTCGGCTCGGAAGCACAAAGAAGCAATGCACGTTTCCCGACTGCACTCGCCGCGCCCACGCTCGGCGCATGTGTGTGCGCCACGGAGGCGGCCGCAAATGCTCGGTCGAGGAGTGTACTAGCCACGCACGGTCGGGCGGCCTTTGTTGCCGCCACGGACGCGGTCGTCTCTCGCCACCCTCCAAGTGCAGCGTGGCGTGGGGCTCCCCCGAGGTTGGGACATTTGAGATTGCGATGACGGAGCTTGACACTGCCATCCTCAACAGCCTCGTGCAAGACGACGACGATACCGACGACGAATTCTCGCTCCTCGATCCGACGTGGCTCTTTACAGAAACGATCGATATGGAGCTGGTAGATTTTGGGTTCTAATACGCTCTTCAACTACTAGTATATATTATTGCGCACGTCGTCTAGCATGCGTTCGACTGCAGTGGGCCGCATAGAAACAAGGACAGCAAGATCGTAGTACGTCTAGAAAGGAAATCGCATAGACACGAGTGTACACGGCAGCGCTGAGGTTGAATCTGTTGAATGCACCCAAGAGAGGACTGCCGCGGATGCGTCGTGGTGCAGGGTCGAGCAGAGAATGCAAGCGATGGCCTTCTGATATTGTCGCGCAACGTGGGCTCTTGGCATACCGCACGCATGTACGTCGAGGATGTCCCACAACAGTGCTTCAAGACAGCAAAGAAAGATACCACCAACCGACGACAGGTAGCCAAGTTGCATTTAGAACTGCGCCGCTCGCGCTAATTTTGGATCTGTTGGGTGCCGAGCCTGTCTGCATTGACAGGCTAGCTCCTGGGCTAGCTCGGTAGATTTTCTCTTGGGACAAGAGGCCCGCGTCGCTTCTACCGCCACATTATTTAACACATGGAATATTTGCGGGCGGCGTCCACTGGCAGTGTTTTGTTGAACTGAGTTATATTACATGCAATTATGAAGATATGGTGGACTTCCTGATGCGCTCGTGAGGCGTGGCCGGTGCGTCAGCGAGGAGCGTTAGTGGTCGTGATTCGAGATCGTGCGAGGGACCAGGTAGCGTGTACACCAGGGATCGTCGCGGAGAGCGATCAGCGACGCGTCAAGAGATGGCACCACAGCGCGACGAGCCAAGTGCCGGATGTGCAATCGTGCGGTAGTAGCTGCCCGGATCGCGAGCGCGGCAGCGGGAAGTTGCGTCAGCGTCGAGCGGAAGACACGGTTGTTGCGTTCGAGCCAAATACAATACCAGACGCAAGCACGTAAGATCAGCCAGAGGGCACGAGCGGGCGACTTGTGGACCGAGTACGGCGCGGCGACATCGTCCTAAAGAAAGCCGGCGACCGACGACGGGAGTTGCATCTGCAGAATATCGCGCATCGGTGCAAAGGTGCACCAGATCGCTTGGACGTATGGGCAGCGCACAAGAAAATGATCGTACGTTTCACGGGCTTGCGCATCGCAGAGAAGGCAGTGTCGGGCATCGCGGCCGAGAAAGTGCAAGCTGGCTCGGACGGCGACGGCTTTCAGCGCGACTCGGTACACGAAGTCGCCGTATCGTGGAAGGACGTGAACCGGCTGCCGTAGAGAGACAAATGAGGCCGCTCGGCCCGGGTGCTCGTAGAAGGTCGCTGGGACGCCGATGTCCACTGGCAGTGTTGGGTGCTTGTTGGATCCCGGGATGCTACGTAGCTGACGAGGCACCCTTCACAAAATAAATCCCGTGAGGCTAGTCGTGTTATGCAACAACATAAAGACATTGCGTTGGATTAAAATCACAACCGCATCTCATCAACATCAACAACATCAACAAGAACTAAAATACTGATATTGCGTCAATTCGTGCCAGTGGTGGCGGCGTGTATTTTGGCGCCAAAAATCTGATTCGGACGTTGAAGTCGAAATGAGACGGCGGGGATCAAAACACTTTGGGCCCTCCGATTTACGACGTTTGGTATCGTAGTGGTATAGGGTCGAGCTTATTTGCAATAGTCTTACATAGATCTTCGTTCCATCATGTGATTGCAACCGAAGGTGGTGCGTTTTGTCCCGACAGACAGAGACAGCATACGCTTCCTTCAGTAGAGGCAATTGTGACCTCTATTTGAAAGCACCTGCTCAAACGTGGTTGCGGAGCATCTGCAATCAATGCTTATCCTCTGCGCAGTACATACCGTTTTGACCGCTCAATCAACGACCAGTGCATCGCTTGCTGTCGACAACCGCCCGCAAGACTTGATTAGCACTCCTCTACGATATCCATTGAGCATACCGTTTCGACTACGATGGAGATTTCAAAATGTAATGCCTTTGTAGCGCCAGTCATGCGCTGGACCTTCACGTCGCTCCAAGGTCGCGTGTCGGTGCCATCCGAAACGAGCACAATTTCAAAGCTTAAATAAGAGAGCTTATAAATGTTTTCAAGCAACGAGGCGAGCGACTGTATCCGGATGGGCGCGAGCGACGACACACGTGCGCCTGTCTTTTCCCCTCGCGCGTCTCACGAAGGCTGCGACGACGGTCGTTGCCGCTCAGCGACGCCGACATATCGCACTACGTGGAGGCCTTCGCGCCAAGGTAGGATATGCTATCTACAGACTTCATCGGGGACTAAATTGTTGCTATTGCTACGACTAATTAACTAAACTACGTCATCTTCTTCTAATATCTTACGCTGGCGAGAGAGGCCGCGGCGGCTGCTCGTACGCAGTAAAGCCTTGCGCGTACTCTGCCTTGGCGGCCAAGTCGCTGCGCGCCGCATACTCGCTGCGGGTCGCATTTGTGTTGCTGCTCGTGGCACTCTTCGGCTTGACTTCGAGACGGGGCGCGGGCGCGCTGGCTTCGGCGAGGGCGGCCAAGCACCGGAGGGGCGGCAAGAACGAGTTCAGCGACGGCAGCGGCGCCGACGGCGGGAGGTGCGACGCCTCGTGCCACGCCGAGGGCGGCAAGTACGGGCGGTCGTAATCGTGCTGGACCATCGAGCTGGACGCGGCCGCGAGCGACTGGCCAAGCGGCGGAAGGACGCCATAGAGCACGGGCAGCGGGATCGGCGACCGCTCCTTCTTCGTGCTCGACTCAACCTGCTTGGTGTGGCGGCAGCAGTAGCCGCCCGTGCGCGCGTGCGCCTTGCAGCTTTCGACGCGGCACTTGCGACCGCCGCCGTGGCGGACGCACTTTTGCTTGGCGTGCGCCATCTTGGTACAGCCTTCCTCGATGCACTGCTTCTTCGTGTTACTGGCGCCGTGGCGGGAGCAAAAGTTGCCGACGCGCGCGTTCATGACGCAGCCCTCGTACTGGCACTGCTTCTTGCCGCCGTGACGCACGCAGAGGTGCCGCGCGTACACTTGGTTCTGGCAGTTGGCGACGTGGCACTTGATGCGGTTCTTATGGAAGCTGCACTTGCGCGTGCCGGGCACGGCGGGGTGTGCGCACTCGTTGAACAAACACGGCGTAGCGTTCATCACAAAAGCGGAATGGCACGGGTGGTCGAGCCGGCGGGGAGAGGCAGGGAAAGGGCGACGGCCACCTGTTCGTGGTCGCAAAACCACCTGCGGCCGGCGTTGCTCACAGGCGAAGAGTGCTGGTTTTACCTTGGGCAATGTAAGGCGCTGCGATCCTACCACGCCACCTGGCGGCCATCAACGATTGGGCCAGAAGCGACGCCAGTGTCCCACGGCCTTCCGAGGCGCGGCGCGTCGCCGATGCCCTCGACAAGGACGACATGGACGAGGGCTTCTGGAGCGAGGGGCGGGACGGTGCGAGGCCGACATGTACGGGGCTTGTACGGCAGTAAGGCGTGAGTAGCTCGTGATACACGTTGCCTCGATGTATGCAGATCGCCGTGTGTGATTGTAGCAACGTTCGTCGACACGACATACAAAAATCAAGTTTCGCGCTGGCACGAACAAATCAGTTTTGTATGGAGACGATCGCGAACGTGGTCGTGGGCCCACGACGAGGGGATGATCTAATGTGACTACAAAGTACAATTGTATCTCGTGGGGCAGAATCCAACCAAAGTCAACAACAGCACCTGTGGGCACGCGTGCGCGTACAGGCCGATGAAAATAACGCGGTATGATTGGCTCACGCGCTATGCGAAAGGCCATCGTAATGCATTACAAAAAGAAGTGAGTCTGTGTCGTGGGTTCGGGAAGCTGGGCCAGTAAATTTTGGGCCAAACCTTGAGCTTCAACTCCGTTCCAGCGACGGAAATCACCTCTACTCGGGTCATGGCTGCGATGGCTGGCTGCGAAGTCGTACGGCAATGTACTTTCTTTTTGTATGCGGTATACAGGAACGTAGATACGACCCGGAAGTCGACCGTCGTGTTGACGTCACGCAGCTGGCACGACGATGCTGCACGGAAGGGTGTGGCTGTGTAGTACTCGCCGCGCACGTGCGACGCGCATACCCTCACGTACCGACTACGACGCGCCGTTGTCGTCAAACGAGGAAGCACAAGCACGCTCTACAGCGAGCGCGGCGAAGAGAGCATCCCATAGAACCGGCAGTGACTAACTCGCACTTCGCGCGCGCCCCAGCTTGTCGCTGAGACGCGGAGCCCAAAAAGGACGCGTGGCCACGTTGTGCGGATGTGCAGATGGGCGGGTGGTTACACGGTGTAATCTCGCGCCGCCACGTCGTCGTATCCGGATGCTGCCTTCGCGATAGAAAAGCTACCGCAGCCTAAAGCAACGCGCGGGTCGCACGACGACAACGCGTCCACACGGGCGCGTGCGCTTCAGCTTGCGCCACGATGCGCGAGGTTCATCTCTCGCAGGTGTGCGGGCTTGCTGACGCATCGAAGAGCGTACCTCGACATGGGCACGATTTTACGTTGCTTGCAAAACAGACTGAAACGCAGCGGTCGCCAGTGTGCAGCTTTTCCCGACCTCTCGGGCTCTCGGGTATCGACACGCTTGCAAGAAAATAGTTTGCAAGACAGAAGACGCGCGTTTGCATCGTCCGCATCCACGCTGTCGCACAGGGTCGCACCCTTCGTAGATGCGTCATGTGTGCATGTGGAGTCCACATGCACACAACATCGTTTCATCAAGCAAGTGTGTGCATGTTTTACTCGTCTTAGTCCTCGTCAGACGAAGAGTCTTCGTCGGAGGAGTCGTCCTACGCGGAATCGCTGTCGCCAAACAGTAGGTGGTCGGGAATGTCTCCGCCATTGATCGTGGCGATAGAATCGAGAAGAATCTCGAGGCTGCCATCCTTTTCGAGCTCCTCGATGCTGCTGGCGTCGTCGGTCGAGTGTCTCGTAGTTGCTGCGTCTTGCTCTTCAACAGTCAAGGTCAAAAGTCCAGCGATCATTTGCCCCACTTTGCAGTCGCGTGCTGCGTTGGAGCTTCCTTTGCTTGAGATCGCGCACGCGCTGAGCCTGGTTGTACGCAATGGCCGACTGCATCTCGACCTTCGCATCTCCCAAATAGCCTTGGTCAACACAGCCTTTGTCGCCTTGTGGTTACGCTCGCCTGCCGCTGCGCTCGTTGGGCACGTGAACACCCACTGGTGAACACCTGTACCCAACATGAGACGCCCAAAGTCACGATAACGTTAGAGGAGTGCTTGCGACCAAATGAACGACGGTTGCGATTGTCAGAGGGTGTCAAAGACGCTTGTCCCGCCAGAAGCCATGGCCACGTACTTGCCGTACAGTGCCGTCGTGCTCGCCACGTCGTTTGGACGGGAGCGGCAAAGAAGCTGGATCGCCTCGCGGCATTGGCTCAAAAGATCGTCTTGACCAAGAGCCAAAAAATCACCGTCATCGGTCTGCTCGTGCACATCGCGCAAGGCGTCGTAGTACGGGTCGCAGCGGAACGCCAACTCAAAGACCGGGGAGTAAATCCGTTTGAAGCGCATGTGAAGGCGCTCCGTGAGGAACTTGCGCGTCTCCATGGGATCGACTCCAACCTCGCGAAAATTGCTCGATGCGAGGTCCTTGATGGTCATCTTGATGAACAAAGGCGGCGTGGCACATATACAGTCGTGCATGTGCTGTCACGACCTACTTGTACTCGTAGCGAGCACAACAATAACGTTACAGAGCCCATTTTCCATCATCGAAAGGTCCCAAAATATGCACGGCAGGTCACCGCTCAGTTTTGGATTCGTGGCCGACGAAGTCACACACTAATAATGAATGGCTAAATTATTTCTAAGGTAAATTTGCGACTGGAAGGTAGAATCATTGAGAGCAAACGAGGCTCTCGTCACGTCCCCATGACACGCTGCTGCTGTCATCTGTGGTATTTTGAAGGACGCAATCCAAAATTGCGTGGTCCAAGGCCTCCAGTGACGACGTATTACTCGAGCTGTCCGAGTCAAACCAGTCTTCGGCTTGCAATAGGACGAGGAGGTCAGGATCGATCGCCGGCGCATTGTTGAGAATCTGCTTGGAGTGGCGCTGGCAGTAGCCCGCAATGCGTGCGAGGGACGTGCATCCGCCAAACTTGCACTTGCGGCCACCGCCGTGGCGAACACAGCGCTGGTTGGCGTGCGCCAAGTTGACGCATCCTTCTTCGATGCACTGCTTCTTAAGCCCGACGATCGCGTGGCGCGAGCAGTAGCCACCGGTGCGCGCGTTTGTCTCGCAGTTGTCGGCAAGACATTGCTTCTTGCCGCCATGGCGGACACAGAGGCCGCGCGCGTACACTTGGTTGAAGCAGTTTTCAAACGAGCAGCACACTCGACTTCGATGAAATGTGCATTTGGTGCAATCGGGCATCGCAAGGTTCGTGCAACCGTTGAAGCAACAGTTCGTCGTCACGTCCATCGTCGTTGGTTATTGGTCGGTCTGCCCGAGACAAAGGGTTTTTCACAATGAGCTCACAAGTATCTTTTCCTTCTGCATCACGCGACAACGTGTAGACCACGCGACTAGACGTTGTCGTTTTGTCTCTTTCGACATCGACGCTGACGACACCAAATGAAGCAAGAACAACTCGTCAACGGAGTGAATTTCACCGTTTCATGACCCATATCCGGATTACATGACTGATGGTCGTTTTGTTGTTTGTGGACTTCCTCAATCAAGACCGAACTACTTGGAGGCAACAATCGTGTTGGTGTCCGCTATGCTTGCGGTGGGTGAGGTGGGTTAGCTATTTGACTACCAATTTGGAAATGGCTTGAGCTCGTTTGCTCTGCGCCTGGATCTTGGATCTTGTAGCGTGTGTGATCTTGGAACCGGTCTTCTAGATAGCTCGGCCTTGCGCGGAAAACCTTTTCAACTTCTTGGAAACGGACCTTGCAGACCAGTGAAAAGGGGCTCATCCGTACCAGATCGCAGCGAGTTTGACAAGCCCACAGCAGTACGCACTTTATTTCATGCCCATGTGCGGCTGCACGCTTTTACACGTTTATTCGCATCGTGTCAAATAAACGAATTAAAATCAAGTCCCTCAACCGACTACACACAACGAAGAAAGTCCGACAATTTTATTTAGCATAGTTTTATCTATTGTAATAGACGACCCACTTCAACAACAACGAATTAGAGCAAATGCTACCTGCCAAGCGATACCACCGGTAAAGCTATCACAACAACACCCGCGATGTCTTGCATCTGCGATTGACCTATCCGTCACTGCTAAGACGACAACTATAGGTAGTACACTTTGAGCATGCTAGAACTGGAAGTGGATCGTCAACCAATGCGAACGTGGTAGACACGACACGTGCGCTGCGCTTCTGGCGCGTGTGCAGCTCGTGGATGACATGAACGTTGGTCCGCACGATCGAATAAATAGAGCGAACCAGAGCCTTTCCCTTCCAGGAAACGTTGCACCCAGAAATGCAAGTTGTTGGGGGTCCGCATGGAGCATTTTTGTTGCAGGTCCAAAGTTATGATGAGGCCAAAGACACACCTGCCTATCGCATGTCGGCCATGAATACAAAGAGTTGTGTGTGAAATGTATCTGGTCATTCCTCAAACATTGTTCTGGGCTGTCGCTGCTTCGATCGATCGCTGCCGACGACTGATGCGGTCTCCGCATCCGCTGTCGTGACATTTGGTCATTTTACCGGATCCGGATACACTACCACATGGTGACAACAAACGAGTTGCACAACGTCGCTGAGTTGTTTCCTGCGATTCATCCGCGCGGTAGACTTGATGAACGGACACAGGTAGCTCATTTCCATTTTAACTTCAAGATATGCAAACGACTCTGTCCTCTCCAGAGATCTGCCGTTTCAATGGGTGTAGTAACCCGGCGATCGACGGCTTGGCCAAGTGCGACTTCCACCGCCATCGCCTTCCGTGCTCCGTCGCGCGCTGCAACAACATTGTGTACGCCCGCCAACTATGCGTGCGCCACGGCGGCAAACCAAAGTGCGCCCATGATGACTGCGATGCGAACGCGCGGCCTGGCGGCTTTTGCTACCGCCACACTGAAGTCCGCAGCAAGCGTCTTTGCTCGCAGCCCCTCTGCACGAATGCCGCGCACGCCAAGGGCTTGTGCGTCCGCCACGGCGGTGGCCGTCGCTGCCGCGTCGATGGATGCAAGACACTGGCGCGCAAGGGCGGCTGCTGTGTGCGGCATCGTGAAGGAGTCGCTTGTGCCGATGCGTTCGAGATGACATTGGATTGGATCGACGCGATTGAGCCGCTCGACGATGCCATTCTGGATTGCCTGATCAAGACGTGCGCCGCGGACACGTCATCGTCGTCGCCTACCACCATCGATGTCGAATGGTACGCGTTGTGAGGACCCAGTAAAATTTTAACTTGTCTTTTTATGGCCACGTGATTCTTTCGTTCTCGCTTGCCAAGTTCGCGCTATTAGTTGCTGGTGCGTAGTGACAACTTGACAAGGCACTTCAAATCAAAGTATGGCAGGGTCGGACGATCTTTTTCGGCGTAAATGAATCTCGGCATGATGACTGTGTATCGAGTTGTCGGCTTTCATAACGAACGGGCCGATCTATGCTCCGCGCGGTCAAGTTCCGCGCACATTTGCACTGGCTCGACAGGGCCGACCAAGCGTGCCTCTTCTGCCCCGCGCACGAGACGTACCGCCACTTCCTCGTAGACTGCGACTTCATCAAGGACGTGTGGAGCACGCTTCACGCCGTCACGGTCCCTTTGGGCGT